GGAGTGCTAATCTAGAGTTAAAGTCTTATAAACTCAGAAAGAGGACCCGGCCAGAGGTCCACTACGGTGGCTCCTGATGTAACATGGGTGGTCAGTTGGAAATCCCCTTTCCTTCTTTCCTTGGACAGATACAGTAGCACCAATCAAGAACAGGAATACTACCTGCATATTCTCCTAACTCAACACAGGGAAAAGGACAAAAGAATAGACCAAAAGGGAGATGGGAGGCATTGAGTAAAGAACAGACCAAGGTGGGAAACTCTCAATACAAAATGATGCTTAAGAAGGGCGTGTGAATGACTCAAAGTAAAAAATAATCTTGTGTAGCAAAGAGACAGTGTACCTTTTTCCTTTCCACAACCACCTGCTTTTACTTCACTGCCCCAAAAGCAAAAGGTGCTCATATTTCTCTGCAAGTAGTGTTCACTGAGCAGCAGTCCATCTACCTGTATAAAGATTCCAAGCTTTAAGACCTGAAATGTCTGGAGAGCTGGGATGTGGGAATACTCATATAGAATCTTGAGGTGAAGAAGAAATAAATTAGTAGGTCCTGTTGAACAAATTTTACTGCATTCAATCTAGCAGTCTCAATGTCTGGGCTTTAACTTTAGTTATCTCATATGCTTACCAAGGTAATCTGTTGTTGTTGTTGTTAAGTGCCATTGAGTCGGTTCCAACCCATAGCAACCCTGTATAGGGTTTCTGAGGAGTGGCTGGTGAGTTTGAACCACCGACTTACCATGTGCTTATCCTACAGCGCCACAGTTAAGAATACGAATAATCTATTTTTTAGCAGCACTTTTCTACTCTCAGATCTTTCTTGTGGGCAGCTGGTGGATTCTCACATGTTATTCTTCACTGAAACTGTTCTTCTTATTTGGAATATGATTACATTTCAGAGTCACGGCAGTTCTTAGCAAGGAATCTAAAAGTTTTACAAATATTTTCCCATAGATAAGAAATTAAGATGTTGTCTTTCCTGTTTTCCTTAATTTACTTGACATTTTAAATGCCGTACTTTTATATTTGAGGCTTTGGTTTCTGCTTAATGTAGACTTTGCTCAATTTGAACTAACACTCAACTGTTCCACTGCCTGAAAAAATGTAAAAGGTCTCTCTACTGGTGTTTCTGGTCAACTGTTTCCCATAAATCCTTTTGACAAACGTTTCCGTAGCGCTGTGTCCTCAAATAGTCCTTCCAGTTGCTTAGAAACCTGTTGTTGTTAAGTGCCACTGACTTGGTTCCAACTCATAGTGACTCAGTATAGGGTTTCTGAGGAGCTGCTGGTGGGTTTGAACTGCCCACCCTGTGGTTCGCTGTCCAGTGCTGATCCTACAGTGCTTGTCCTACTGTATGTGAATTGCACAGTTCTCATTCCAGACACCCAACCTCATTGGAAGAAACAAAAATTGCCACTTCTTGTCATTCCAGGTGCTAAGAAGAAAGAAAAGTATGTCAGAAAAATGAGGAAAACACTTGGGTTCCAGTCATTATTTTTCTCCTTTTTAAAGGCAGATCCTAACTGCCTTTCATTCACTCCCTAGCTACACAGAATTATCTTCCGTATCTTGACCCCAAAAGTCCAAACCTCAAACATCTGTTACAAGAAATGCCACTTTTCAGTTACGGAGCACTAAAAGGATAGGGAAAGAATGTGCTAGCAACTAAAGTATGGAGGCAAAGACAGCCTAGGGTCAGTTACCTTTCTAAAACAGGCTGATAAACTATTATAAAAAGGAGAGAGGAGGCATTTTTGCAGCCAATAGCAGGACCACTATCTTCAGTCAGTCACCCACGAAAATAATGTAATCCACTACGGCCGTTTTGTTGTCTCCTGATGAAGCTCAGTGCACCTGCTTTCGCGCAAGGCCAGGGAAGCTCAAGTCAAAAGACTCGGGGGACTTCTGTGGATTGTGCAGCAAGCGCAGGCAACTACGGCACTTAACCTAAAGTAAGGAAAAGCATGACTGCCTCTTCCTTCCAGTCTTCCCATAGCCCAGAAACCACTGGCCTGCCTGCAAAGGGTATTCAAGGGCACTGCTGACATAACTTCATTTATTCAATTTGGTAACTCTTGCGCTGGACTGCAAAGTCGGTCTGAACCGCAAGGTCGGCGGTTCAAGCTCACCAGCTGCTCCTCAGAAACCCTATACAGGGTCGCTAGGAGTCGGAAGCGACTCGACGGCACTTAACAACAACACTTACGCTCAGTTCTGGGCCAGGTGCCAGGTGTCGTGGACCTCGCTGCTTAAGGCATTACTACGCACTGATTCAGATGAGCTGGGAGTAATTATTTTTGAAGAAACTAAGTCTGAAATCAATCTGAGAGTCTAAGGATGTTGACTTTAACTCCCTTTCTTCAAAAAGGTTCAAGATCTGTGCCTCAGAGGAGTGTAACATCAAACTATCCCAACGCAAAACTCACAGACTGGGAAAAGGACAGGAGCTCTGACAGTCTGCCACTGGTAACCGATGGGACACTGAGCAATCACTGATCCTCTCAAATTATCAGTCAGTCAAGGAGAAACATAACGGAACCTATCTCACAAGTTAAAACTTACCTCACAAGGAAATAGCTTAATCGTTGTGATGAACGCGCCACGCGACCCAGAAAACGGTTCCAACCCGTGAAGGGACCGGTGTTCCTGACCTAGCGAGGGGCCTGGCTGGGACAAAATTGTCTCTTAACTTGGAGTCCCGGTTACCAAATGCCCCAGGCCGCCCGAAAGCGAAGCCAGAACGTTCTGGACGCGAAGCAACATCTCGCGGAGCGGGAACAGGAGACGGGGAATCCAAGCGAAGCGCTCCCAAGGCTACTCGTGGCTTTGGTGGGCCCGGAGGCGCGGTGAGACGAGCTCTTCCAGGCAGGGGAACGGTCTCTCCAAGGAGAGAAGGCGCAGCCGCAGACGCCGGCGCTGCGGAGTTGAGACACTTCAGCTACCGCACCCGAGTGGGCGGATCAGGACTGAGCGAGCCCCCGGGGGTGCGCGTCACTTCCGCTTCCGGCCGCGCACGCGGGCCGCTGACCGCGAACGGGTCGGCGCAGTACCTTGGAGAGAGCTAGTGTCGCTCGCCTAGGTGCGCGGCAGTTCCCTGGAACCCTCGGATCCGTTTGCCGGGACCCGCGCGCCTCGCCGGCCCGCCTGCAAGGGGCTCAGGGCGGCGAACTCAGGTCTCAGAACTGCGCGGGCGGGCAGGCGACGACCTTGCAGTTGAGCCCGAGAAAGAGGCAAGTGGCCGCCACGGGCCCCGTGGAGGTAACCAGGTAGTTGCTTTCCCCTTGGCATCGCCTCCCGAGCCCTCAGAGAAACACCGGCCGCGCCGCCTGGCGGGCGGGTGAGAAGGCAGCCATTTTTTGTTGGCGCCGCCACGTTTCCGGGTGCGGCTGGCGAGGCTTGTCTGTGAGTAGGCCGCGCCCGCCGGCAGGCTGCGGAAGCCGCTCTGCCGCTCCTTGGCGCGGATGGAAGCCGTAGTGCCCTGTTTTGAGGTGATGGCATGATTGTGAAGTAGGGCAGGCATTGAGGTCCAGCACTCACCCGAGAGACGTGCCCCCAGGAGAACGAGGCAGAGCAGCCTCAGAGGGAACTGCTGCTGATGCCAAACCCAGAGAAGTGCCTTGACTGCCGAGCTTAGCTAGTCATCAAGGGACGGGCTCCTCCGAATGCCCTGGTCCTGGATGCAATTCTACTGCTGTTTCTACTACGTCCCCTCAGCCCGTCTTAGTGATCTAAACACCCAGAGGAAAGGCAGTGGAGGGTCACCGTGACTGAAGAATCCTGTTCATCACCCACCCCACCCCACTTGTGGTTTTTTTGTTATCTCCCACTCAACAGCTGAGGACTTCAAACTGCTGACCTTCCGGTTAACAGCCCTGGTTTAACCACCAGGGCTCCTGGACAGTTGGCTGTCTTGTCCACAAAGGTCAACTTATTTACTCCTAGTCATGTAAACAGAAAATTTTAAATAACAGGAATAAATCATCTGCATAATACCCATCTTTTGTCTTGCAAATAACAATATCTGCTTGCTTAGCTGGGGGCACATTCAGAGAACAATAAGGTTACATTTTCTTTAATTCTACTGGATTCTCCTGGCAATGTTTATAATATTTGAGAATATCAGACATTCCACATGGTGAAGACTTTTATCTTCACAGGAGAATGAAGATGGTAGAAGTTGTTTCTCCCCTAAGTAAAGATCACTGGAATGATCTGTTAAAATTTAGAGAAACTTTAAATTTTTTATTTCCTCCAAATTTCCCTTTGACATTGGGAAAATGAACTAGGAAGTACACATGAAATCCTTGGATAATGCCAAGCTTTCAACCACTGGATGTCAGTTTTCTCACTTACAAACCTTTTTTAAAAAACTCATCAGTAGTCATTTGCCTTCTCTGAACAGTACTATCTCCAAGTTAAATAATGTTTACAAACAGCTTGAACTAATCTATCATGAGTTATCTAAATAGTTGGTGGTTGTTACGTGCTATGAGTTGATTCCAACTCAAGCTGATTTTAAAGGAAAGGCACGACAGCATTTTCTGTTCCTTTTTCTCAAGTATCATCTAGTCAGGTCCATCAAGTCCTGGTGTGGCGCTGTGGCTTGACACTCTGGACTGCAGTCAGCTTCAACCGCAAGGTTGGCAGTTCAAGCTCACCAGCTGCTCCTTGAAAACCCTATACAGGATCACGGTGGGTCGGAACCAAATCAACAGCACTTAACAACAACAACAACAAGGTCCATGGAAGAAGTCCTGGTGGTGCAGTGGCTAAAACGCTTGATTGCTAACTACAAGGTTGGAGTTTTGAGTCCACCAGTAGCTCTACAGAATAATTTTGTGGCAGGCAGGAAAGAAATTAGGTTCATGTGACTTTCTTACTGACATGTGCTTTTTCCTTGCCCTCTATCTCCTTAGGAAGAAGACAGCCTTGCTGGCTGTGTACCGGAGCAGATGGGTCCTCACTTGTCGAAGGTGGTGGTAAACTGTTCCTAGATCAGAATGATGACAATAGAGCTGAAAGTGGCTGCACATTTGGATCCTCAGATCAGGGCTCTGTGGGAGACCAAGGGATTTGTGACAGAGAACTCCAGTCATAGAAAGAAATCTACCCCACCAATGGGTCTTGGTCTGGAGCGCTCTCGCCAGGACTTTCGTAACTTCCACTATCATGAAGCAGCTGGACCCCTTGAGGTCATGAGCCAACTTCAGGAGTTATGCCGTCTGTGGTTGAGGCCAGAGATCCACTCGAAAGAGCAGATCTTGGAACTACTAGTGTTAGAGCAGTTCCTGAACATTCTGCCATGGGCTACCCAGGCCCAGATGCAGAAACACCATCCACAGAGCATCAAGGAGGCTGTGGCCTTAGCAGACTACTTGCAGAGAGAATCTGATCAAACGACGAAAGGGGTGAGAAGAAAGATCCCTGACGTGAAATGAAATAGGATAGAAGTGGATCTGTTGGGGGTTAGGGGTTAATTGAAAAAAGATGAATTAGATCACTCTTGTGTTATTCCTGTAGGACAGCTAAGATGGTACCTGAAACTAGAGGCTGCAGGAATACTCCACAAGTTTTGGCATTCCTGGCAGAGTTTTCTATGATCCTAGAGAAATGAGTTGCTTTTTGCTTTCTTGAGGGCCAGGGTGAATTGAGAGTTGTGAGCTCTCCAAACTAATCTGGCTTAACCAAGGAGACAGGACTTGAGTGATAAGAAAGGGAATGTGGGGCAGATCCAAAGGGGGACTTAGGTCAAAGGAGAACAAGGATAGCTAAGAGAAGGAAAAATCAAACAAGACTGGAAGGAAAGAGAAAATGTGCAGGGGGCGGGGATTGGAAAAGAAAAGAAATCCCAATAGTAGCAGAGAGAAGTTGCTGAGGGGTGGGTAGTATCCTATTTACCATAGATAAGAGTCTTTGATGCCCTCCTTTAGTGGTTGGTCCTCAGCCCTGCTAATGAGTGGGGCTTCAGGGTAGCCAGGCAGGTCATATGTGTGGTAGCAATATATACCAAATTCATTTAGAGTTAGTGTGGAACCAGACTCTGCCCTTTTTTCTGACATTCTAACAGGAAGGAAAATCCTTTTTATTCTATTCCTTATTTTTAGAAAAAACTTGAAGAAAGGAATCCAGGAAGGCAGGGATCCAAGTCAAAAGAAGAGGCCTGTCAAGACAGCATGAGAAGAGATGATCTGCCCCACATTGCTAGTAACCTGAGCCATGTGCAGAAGGTTTGTGTTGTGGGCTGGCAGTGGTCACAACTTTTTTCATTTTAAACTAATTTTCCCATATTTGTGTATAGTTCTTTGTGGAAAACAAGTGATCCTTTTAAGCCTTTTCACTAATTCATTTAGTGTCTCACACCTCCTAGGATCAAGACTCTGCTTGTTCATCTCTCTACCTCCCTCAAAACAAATGTAAGTTTTCTGATAACAACAATGGGGATTAATTCTAGGTTGCAGTCCATGAGCTGGGAAAGGAGGCATTGACCTCAGGAGGAACAGCAGAAGCCCCCAGCTTCATGCTGAAGTCAGCAGAACCCCAGCCAGTGAGCAGGTTGCAGGATGAAGAATTTCGGACTACGTACCAGGGTCCACAAGAACAACTAAACAGGAACACTCACAAAGAAATTGAGGAGGCAGTATACAAAAAAGGTAAGGAGCTTCACAGTGAATTCCTTCAGGGAATGATGATGATCATTTGTTTAGCAGGAGTGCTGTGTCTAGTCTTGTCCTGGAAAAGCAGCCGTGTTAGCAATTACGATGTCTTTCAGTGGCTGTACAGTACGCCAATTCTGAATATAGGTGGGGGTCAGTCTAGGGTACAGAACTGTCTAAACCACAGAACCCTGCTTGTTATACCATCATCTCTATTCTTATAAAAGTAGAGAGAAGATGAGATGGGGTAGAAAGGGTCAGGACCACCTCATCCTCGTAGATTAGAGGAAGAATGAAGATCAGAAATGGGTTATCGGTGGCAGAATCAGAGCAGATTTTTGTGCCAAGAAAAAATTACTAGAAGACAAGAATGGTATTAGAGGACCACTACTGTAAAAGACTAAGAAAAAGAACCCATACTAAAGTGGGGTGGGTTCTTTGCTGGTTGCTGGGATGTGGGGGTGGGGTGAGCAGTGGGAGGGGAAGGTGGAGCACAGGGCAGGGAATAGACACAGGATAGTTTGGGTGCTGGGGAGGGGGCGATATACACAAGAAGGGAGAGGGGAATGGGAGAACAATTATGCAGGTTTGCATGGGCTAAGTGGGACAGAGGTAAATAATGATATATGCACAACGTTGGAACAACAGGGCTCTGGGATACAGAGATTGAGACATGGTTGGAAAGGGGGAAATAATGTTAAAATGCTTGGCTGTCTTTTGAATCTTGGTTTTCCTTGCATTATATTATAAAATAGACACTGGAAGGGTGAGAAAAGAATAGCCAGAAACATCACCATAGAAAACTTGTAAGTCCGTCTTTTGCCCATAACTGATTGGAATACTTAAAATGGGACTACAAGGTGCCCAGTGAAGGAGGCTTCCTGTGGAGCCTCTGCATTACATAAAACTATAGGTGGAAGCCTGAACCACATCCAGATCTTCAGAGGTGGGAAATTTCCACTTGAAAGGACAAGCAGACTAGCCTAGAGCACCTAGAAAAACAGAAGATAGTTCTTGAAAGAAAGACCTACAGGAAAAATATAAAACAACATAGGCAGACCGACTGTTACTACAAGAACAAGCAAGTTGCTCGCCCAGGAGACATCAAGGCAAGTGGTCGAGTCCCCTCAGTGCAAACCCCCTTCCAAAACTAAGACTCAATGGGAATACACAGTCTGATTGGTGACCACGTTGGTCACTGATAAAGGGAAGTGAGGGAAAAACAGCAATGAAGCTGCAAGCTAAGCCCTACAACATTCAATAAACTCCTGTGAACCCAGGTGGAGACTTGGTTAGCCAGCAGTGTGGCAAGACCTGGGCACTCTTGGGCCCAGAGTCAGTGATATAGCCACAGAGGACTAGAATGGAAAGTGAAGCATCCAGCTGATAAGAAGAGAGGGCATATGCACAAGAACACCCACACTTGCAGATAATACCCACTTGACTTGGCTTCAATGACTGGATGATCAGAGCTCAAGCAGAAGAAGAAAGAAGAGGGAGGAAAAAAAAGAATAATCTGATAACAATTTGATGAACTTGACCCACACCTATGGATGCAGTAGCGCAAAAGAGGAAACAAATCTTTATAGCAAGGATCATTCCCACCCCCTCCATACACACAGTAGACAGAGATGGGCAACTTGGACATTAGCTACTCAAAATGGGGGTGGGGGCTACAAAGGCAAGAAGTGACTGGCTTACAAGCTTTCAAGAGGGAACCTAGATCCAGAGGATGTGGAGGAAGGTAAAATCTCCAGTGAGTAGTATCCAGTCTGTCTAGGCAGGGCTGATGAAAGGAAATGAGGATAGGTCTCTTGTGATACGGTAGTGAATAATTGTTATCAGCACTGCTTGTAAGGGTTGGAAATGTAAAGGTAGACATTTTGTAGCAAGGAGGGGAGTGATTAACTTTTCAGTTTAGGATCGGAGGTACCCCCTGGGACCATGAAGAGAGAAGAGTGGATAGCGGGACCCTAGCCAGAGAAGCAGTGATGCCTGACATAGAGGCAGAGTCGATGACATGGAGAGATGGAACAGCTGGGGACTTTAGACACAGAGAGGGAGAGGGGCTGTGTGCTGACGATGGGGGTGGGGGGCAGGCTTGTAGTGTATACCGTTTGGTTGGTTGATGATGCATGGAGGGGATTGTAACCATGGCAATGAAACGATATATGATAGGATGAATGTAAAGCTAATGTTCTCACATGTAATCTATCACATAATTCACAGTAAAACATAAAAAAAAAAGAATGGTATAGAAAGGGGCTATAAAAAGTTTGTGAAAATGGAATTAAAAGAAGATATAGCTCCTATTTATATAAGAGTCCTTGATATTTAAACACCTTTAAGTCTTGGTCAGCTTGAAAATTTTTATTTAATTAGTGAGAAATAAAAATGGAATTCCTTTTACTTCTCTTGAACTCTGAGGAAACAGTCAAGTAAAGTAATAGTATTGTGGACTGGTAAATACTTGGTTCTTGTTTACCATGAGACTGTAACTTCTGGGCATCTCCTACTTAAATCAGGACCAGTAGTAGTTTAGAAATGAGCTCATGTTTAGAAACAAAAGAAAAAGAAATGTCCTATGGCTCTTTTCCACCCACAGCTCTGCCTGACCCACAGACTCTAGCCTTTTCTGAGCAGATAAACACCAAAGATTGGATGGTGGCACCTAAGCTCCTCTTGCCTGAGTCCCAGGTGAGCTGTATTTTTCAGATGTTTAATGCTGCCTGAGTATACCTTGTTAATGCCTTTCCCTGCCGTCTATAACCCCAACTGCCCTAAAGATTCTCAGAGACCTGGTAGCCCCCGATGTTCTCCTCTGGACAACCTGGCTTGTCTCCATGGAAGCTGGGCAACTTTCAGTCTGTTTTCTGGTCCCATAGATCCTTTCTTTTTTCTTTCTTTCTTTTTATAAAAATGATGTACTGTTAATTCCTTCAGTGTCTGGCCTGTTGTGCAGTTTAAAGATCACGTGGTAGGGCTGCTTCTGTAGTGCCAAGTACTGAGTTTAAGCCCATTCTCTTCATTAGAGCTTGTTGATGTTTGAAGAGGTGGCCATGTATTTTTCCCAGGAAGAATGGGAGTTATTGGAGCCCACTCAGAAGATGCTCTACCATGATGTAATGCAGGAAAATTATGAGGCTGTCATCTCTGTAGGTAAAAATTCTCTCTTCCTTTTATGTAGAAGTTTTGTATTATGTCAGCTTACTGAGAATGTGCACCTGTGAGAGTCCCCTATTCCAATGCTGATTGGTTCTCAACTAGGTGGTATAAGGGATAAGAAAAGTGTATCTAAACTATCTCTAGAACTTTTTCCAAATATGTTCATTCCTTATCCTAAAGAGAAGTTGTGATTTTTGTCCCCTTCTAAAATTGGCACTTGCTTAAATTTCCGTAAAGGGCATCACCATTACTCAGTTCTGTAGTCAAAAGCTATCATTTTGTCTCATTTTCTCATCATACTCCTTGAGCAATCCAACAGCAAGTCTTCTGCCTTCAAACAAAATATAGTCCAGGTCCAAACATATCTTAACCTTCTCACTGTTAACTTCCTGGTCAAAGATACCATTATCTCTATCCAAGTCTTATTTGACAGCTTTCTAAATGTTCTCTTCCTCAATTCCTGACCTCCTTAGTCTGTTTTCCACACCATGGCATGAATGACCCTTCAGAAAGTCTGCCAGCTCATGACATATCCCTGCTTTTAATCCTTGCAGTGACTTACTGTTCATCTCATTCAGAAGAAGATTCAAATTTATTATTTAGGAACCCAGGGCCCTTCATCATCTAGCCACTATTCACATCTCTCCTTTCATTTCCTACTGCTCCTCTCACCCTGGCTCAGTTATCTGTGCTGTGGGTGTTAAGTGCCCTTGAATCAGTTGCAAATCATAGTGACCTTGTGTAAGTTTCTAAAGAATAACTGGTGGGTTTGAACTGCTGAACTTGAGGTTCAGACTGACCTTAGAGTTCAGTGCTTAGCCTTCAGTACCACACCAGGACTCCCAAGTGTATAGCAACACTAATTTTATTTTTTTGTTTAGAAATGAGTGAAGATTTACATAGCAGATCATCAGTTTTACATATACTTTGCTTCATTCAATTAATTGCAATCCCCTCCATGTACCATCAATTAACAGTATTTTTCTCTATTCACTTTAATTCTTGCATTCCTTCCTGCACTGATTTTCCTGCTGTTTCTTGAACTTGTGAAGCTCATTTGTTTCCCTAAAATGTCAGTTCAGATACCACTCAAAGAGGCCTACAGCAGCATTAAGTAGAGTAACTTCATAAGGATTAGAATCCTAAAATGCTCTTTATCTGTTTTGGTTTTCTTCTAAAAACATGGATCACATTCCGCATTTAGAATGTAAGCTGTATGGGAACAAAGGACTGGATCTTAATCATTTTTGTATCCTAAACCCGTAGAGCAATGTCTCTACTACACAACAGCCACATATTAATTGAATGACCTAGCAGTGGAATTCTCCCTTACTCATTCCGTGGCTGATACTTAGGCATTACATAAAAAGTTACTATTCAGGCTCTAGGCCCATTGACAGCAGCCATGTGTCTGCGGGCAAGAAGCTGGCTTGCAAATTGTGCCCTTTTGATGTTTAAATGAACATATATTTTTTAATTTGCATGTGTACATCAAATAGTTTTACTTTGTTCATTTGTGAAATAAAGATGTAAATTGGGAGCCACAGTAGGATAACTGTTGTTGCAGGGAAGAGAGTATAATCATTGAGATGAAACGAAGTGTAAAATTTGTTGAATGTAAAGCTGATGATCTTGTCTGTAAACCTTCACTCAATTCACAATAAAAAGTTATTTTTTGAAAAAAGTAACTATTATAGGAAACTCTTGTAAGTATGATTTCTAACCTACTGACCTTCAGATTTTCTCCACTGCAACTTATCTTATTCAGGATAACTCCTTAAAGAGTTAAAGAGTTATCTTATTCATGATAACTTCTTAAAGAGTTCATAGTCCAACTTATGTTGTTGTTGTTATGTGCCGTGGAGTCGGTTCCAACTCATAGCGACCCTGCACAGGGTTTCCGAGGCTGTAAATCTATATGGGAGCAGAATGTCTCATCTTTCTCCCACGGAACAGCTAGTAGTTTCGAACTGATGACCTTGAGGTTAGCAACCCGATTCGTAACCACTATGCTACCAGAGCTCCTTTTAGTCCAACCTATATTCCCTGCAATTTCTGGAACTTAGAACCCCCTTCAGTCCCCTTTGTAAAGCACAATATTTTTGGTGGCAGAAGGAGAAAGCTGCACTGGATCACTGTTTTTTCCTATTTGCTTCTCATCTTTCCACTTTAGTTTTATTTTTTCATCCCTGCTTTGGATATCTACCCACAGCTCTATTTGAGATTCTTTTCATCTTAATCATTTAGAACAGAGGTGGGGAATGTGTGGCCCAAGGGCCATCTAAAACCCACAGTCATTTGATCTGATCTTGCCTGCAAAGCAACCGTAATTCCAGCCATCACGTTAGGGGGTCAGTTAATTAAATATTTGACCCAATGTAGCTGGCTAATTTTTTAAGTTGATAATTTTGAATGGCCTGCATGTTATAAATTTTGGCAGAACACAAGGCTCACTGTAGTGCACGATGAGTTGGAATTGACGTTATGGCAGTGGGAATACCTGTTAGCCCATTTAAAAATGTGGGATTTAGAGTTACAAATTGTCAAAAAGTACCTTTGTTTTCCATGAAATAGTCTTGAATTAGTAGACCAATTCACTATTAAGCTACCAGTGCATGACCTCAGTTTTTCCTTCTCATAGCATTATTTGTGCTCCCCAAACCTAAAGTGATCTCCTGTCTAGAACAAGGGGAAGAACCGTGGATCCATGGGCCTCAGGAGTTCAAGAGCAGTCATGTAGAATCTCCTACAGGTAACATGGGAAAAGGGAAATGTGCCAGGGGCTTAGCATTTGAGGATTCTACTCTAGTTTGAGAAGAATAATCTGAGTTTGTTTTGTTTTAATTACTGTGATTTTCTTGCCCTGGACACAGAGATGGCTGATTCTTAACTTTATTTCAACAGGGTTGAAGCTCAAAAATGACATTGGAAATCATATGCTTATATCACTTCCTAGTTTAGAAATGGAAGCATCAGGAGATACAGTTTCCAAAAAGTCTAGAGTGAATATTTTCTACAAAACAACAGGCAAAGAAAATCAAGGTGATATGCACAGGGCAGGGAAACGGCATCGAGATTTTCCAGTGAAGAAAAGAAAGAAGCTTTCAACCTGGAAACAAGAGTTGCTGAGACTTATGGATCTTCACAAGAAAGACCGTGCAGGAGAAAAGCCTTTTAAATGTCCAGATTGTGGGAAAAGCTTCAGAGTTAGCTCTGATCTTATTAAGCACCAGCGAATTCACACTGAAGAGAAACCCTATAAATGTCAACAGTGTGACAAGAGGTTTAGATGGAGTTCAGATCTTAATAAGCACTTAACAACACACCAAGGGATAAAACCCTATAAATGCTCATGGTGTGGGAAAAGCTTCAGTCAAAACACAAATCTCCACACACACCAAAGAACTCACACAGGGGAGAAGCCCTTTACATGTCACGAATGTGGGAAAAAATTCAGTCAGAACTCCCACCTTATTAAACACCGAAGAACCCACACAGGCGAGCAGCCTTTTTCATGTAACATATGCAGGAGAAACTTCAGTAGACGGTCAAGCCTTCTTAGACACCAGAAACTCCATAGGTGAATGGGAACTTGTCCATTGCCCCCATTTCTGAAGAACTTCACCAAATGATGAGGAAATACAAAATCATGAAACAGCTAATAATAGGAATTTGTCATCAGTGGAAAAGCATCCTGACAAGAATTTTAACTTTGCCGGAGAGAGCAATAATTTACTGCCTTAACTTTTAATAAGGAATTCCTTTGTAAAAGGTATCCTGAGACCATTGGGATTGGGATTGGATCTGGCGAAATAAGAAATTCCACTTCAAAAAGTAGGTGCAACCATAAGTCAGTCAACAGTCTTTGGTCACAGAGGTAAATATTTGGTTTTTTGCATTAATCTCCTAGCCACTCTTAAAACGTATATAATAGAAACATTTGTAACTCGTTCTTCCAAAACAAAAAGCAGGCATATATGTTTAGTTGCAAACGATTATTGTTAGGGTGGCAGGCTTAATACTGAATTATCTCATACAACAGAAATAGATCCCAGTGTAAACATTTTCCCAAGAACCAAAGTGGATTTTCTGTTATCTTTAGACACTGTTCACACATTTGAACGTCATTTGAGTTTATACTTAAACTTTTGACAACTTTAGCTCCTGAGTTTGTATTATAATTAAATCGTATTTACTTCACTACCAAGGAATCTGCCAGAAGAGCTAATAATGCACTAACCATGTCTCTCATTGATGGTGTTTAGAAAATGGAAAACAACTCTAATGAGATTCTATGGAAACAGATGAAATTTATAGCCATGGACTTTTTATTAGATATAAAGAGAGATGGGGCAGTAACAAAAAAAAAGATTTTTCCTTACCTCATCATGTCAATAGGATAAAATAGCCATAAAATTTAGCTCTTAGCCAAGGCTTGAAAGAAAATTGATAGTAGCTCATGATCTTTTCGTTATTTGCTTTTTAATTTGACTTGCTTGTTTGTTATTGATTAGGAACAAGGAAAGAATTATTTTTATATGGGAACCTGGCCGGGCTGAGGGATTGCATGCAGACACGTGAGTTCACTTGCAGTTGTGACCGAGGTGTCTAGTCAGCAGAAAACAACCATTCCCAAAGGGAAAGGTTTAGGAATTGATGCCAGGTGTTGGGCAAGGATTGTTGAATGCACATCTGTGTGTATAGTTTGTCTTACACTGTTACGGATTTGTGTCTCCTCAAAATATGTTGCAAATCCTTCCACTGTGGTAGCAGCCTTGGTTACACAGTGGTTAAGCACTCAACTTCTAATGGCAGTTTAAACCCATCAGCAACTTTGCAGGAGAAAGATGTGGCTGTCTATTCCCATAGGGATTGGAGCTTTATCTAATCTATGAGGCAGTCCTCCTCTGTCCTTCAGTGTCACTGTCAGGTGGAATTGACACTACAGCAGTGGGTATACCTGTGCTTATTCCATTTGGAAATGTGTTTTCTTTGCTGTGTTTATGTAGGGTGTGTTGTGGTATAAAAGAACAGATTAAATGATTGAAGAAGCAGGCACAAATGGAGAGAAGATAGATACTAACTAACTACATGCTCATCAAAGAACCTAGGAATGAAAGCTCACAGTAGACTGAGTGCCAGCCTTCCCCTAGGACCAGACTTAAAGATTCCTCAACAGACAATTTCTGTCCAAACACCCACCACTAGATAACGAAGACCCTATAAGCTCTTCAGTTGGCAGAGTCTGTCCTACGTTCTCTCCAGCACAGCGTTTAGAAGCAGTCTTAGGTGATAAATTTGAAAGTGGATTGTATGCTATTGAGCTGATTCCAACTCTTATCGACCCTATAGGATAGTAGAATTGCTCCATAGATTTCCTATGGTGAAAAGTCAGCAGTTCAAACCTAATTGCTATTCCATGGGAGAAAGAAGAGACTTGATTCTCCCACAAAGATTTAACCCATGGAAGCCTTATGCAAGGTCGCTCTGAGTCGGAAACGACTTGACGAACTTAAGAACAGTCTGTACGGGAGCAGATCACCAAGTCATCTTTTCCTGTGGAACTGTCAGCCTTTAGATTATTAGTCAAGTGCTTAAGCGTTGTGCCACTACAGCACCATTGCCGTCAAGTCAATTCTGACACCACAGTAACCCGATTGTTAGTGCAGTTGACTCAGGTCCAACTCAGCGATCCTGTGTAGGGTTTCCAAGGAGCGCCTGGTGAGCTTGAACCACCAGCCTTGTAGTTCAAACCAACCTTGCGGTCCAGTGCATTGTCGTACAGCCGCACACTAGGACTCTGTTGTTATTAAGTGCCGTTGAGTCGGTTCCGACTCACAGCGACCCTGTATAAGGTTTCTGAGGAGCAGCTAGTAGGTTTGAACTGTTGACTTGTGGTTTGCAGTCCCAGTACTGAGCCTACAGAGCCACACAGAAGTCCACCAGGACTTTGTTGTTGTTGCTGTTAAGTGTCGTCAAGTTGATTCTGACCCATAACGATCCTCTATATGGTTTCCGAAGAGCGGCTGGTGAGCTTGAACCCACCGACCTTGCAGTTTAAATGACTTTGCAGTGCAGCGCATTAACCCACGGTGCCATCCAGGACTCGGTAGGCCAGGGTTAAAGTGTCCCCCCGGGTTTATTTGAAATCCGTACAGAAGCAGGCTGCCACATCCTTTCTCTCATGTAGTCACATCAAGGTTTGAATTGCTGACCTTTCTGTTAGCATCTGAGCACTTAACCCCTGTGTCACCAGGGCTCCTGTAAAGTCTCTATAGGCTTGGAGATTTTCTTACAACTTACCTGTTTATTTGCAACAGTGACTCAGGTTAGACTCAGGTTAGAGCTTTCAAGTACCATCCCAGGTAAGAGGTTTAAGAAATCATCCGTTTCACAACTTATTTTATAGGTGAGAAAGTTAAGGCTCAAAAGAGGTTCCGGCACTTGCTTATGATACCCCACCGCTAGAGGGGGACATTCCCGCTGATGTCTGTCACTCGTCTTCATCAGTCAGGCATTAGTCACGGAACCACTTTTAAGTCTCCTTTGTTGTTGTTGTTGTTGTTAAGTACTGTGGAGTCGGTTCCGACTCATAGTGACCTTACACACAGGGTTTCCGAGGCTGTAAATCTTTACGGAAGCAGAATGCCTCTTCCGCGGAACAGCAGGTAGTTTCGAACTGCTGACCTTGAGGTTGGCAGCTCGACTTATAACCACTATGCTACCAGAGTCTCCTTAGGTGTATAAAATAGAACACTTACCCTAGGCTTCTGGAGATTAGATGAATCAATGAATGTAAAGTCTCTAACCAATCAGTGATCCGTTGAAGCGTGTTTCCTGTGCTCCCTGGTGATTTATGGGACTGAGTACATTAAAGACACTAATGCATTGTGGGAGTGGCAACTCTACTCAGGAACTGAGGCAGTAGAGAATTCCCCACACCTGAAATCATCTTTAAAGGAACTGAAAATAAACTGTTATGTTCCAGTAATGTGGTGGTTGTTTCTGCTGTATAATCTGACGTATTCTAGTAGTCGACCTAGAGCCTCAAGGAGGGCAGTTGAAGGGAGAAACCTTACCATTTTCATTCCTAACCTTTGGGAGAGAAACATCTTCCCCTAAGTACTCCACTGAGCGGGTGTAAGACTGATGAGGTCAAGAGCTCACACAGCTGTAGATGTTTAACTTAGGTAAAAACAAAACCTGGACATAGGTCATCTCCCTTGGCAGCCTGAATCATAAAACCTCACCTCAACTTGGTGGTGGTGGTCATTCCCATGGAGTCAGCTCTGACCCCTGGCAACCTCATATACAACAGTGCACCACCCATTGCCAGTCCTGTGTCCTGTCATCTTCACAGTCATCAGCCTGCTAGAGTCCCTCTGTGACTGCCATCACTATTGGGAGTGCCTTCCAGCAGGGGCTTAGGTTATAGCACTGTCTCAGACAACATTCTGCTGAGACCCAGCACTAGGTCACTGAGCCTGTCTTCCTGGTCTATGTTAGTATGGAACCACCTCTGAAACTTGTCTACATAGGTGAGCCTGCTGGTATTTGAAATGTGGGTGGTATAGCTTCCAGCACCATAGCCCATAAACTGGCACATATGCCAGTTAGGTATGTTTCTGTGCTATATACTCAGTAGTCTTCCTCAAACACGGGTCACCTGTCACTTCTACTTCTAGAGCATTAATAGCTCCCATGAGCTTAAGTCCCTAATTTGACGCCAAGACCCTTCTTCAGCTAGAACCATCCTATAGACAGCTTGCTTTTCCTCTCGCAGTTCACGTATCCCCTACTGAACCAGCCTCTTCATCCCATTTTTTATTACACTTCACTTTTAGCCTCCAGTATCGCCTTTTCTCACCTGTTCAAATCCTTCAACCTCCTTATAACCCCCACAATTCAACCCAAACTGACCTATCTTAATTGTGGAATCCTCCAAATCAACTGCTTTATGGATTTTTACTTTACAATTTTTAACAAATTGTCAGCTGACCAAATTATTGGGGAGGAAAGTTAAAGTTCACTATTGGACTCCTGGTGTGGCACTGTAGGATCAGCAAGCACTGGACTGCAAACCACCAAGTTAGCAGTTCAAACCCACGAGCTGCTCCTAGGAAGCTCTATACAGGTCGCTGTGAGTCAGAACCAACTTGATGGCGTGGTGGTGGTGGTGTGGAATAGTGTCGGTTCTGACAAATAACGACCCTGCATAGGGGTTCCTGAAGGAGCTCTGGTAGCGTAATGGTTACGGATCGGGCTGCGAACCTTAAGGCCAGCAGTTCGAAACTACCAGCCGCTCCGTGGGAGAAAGATGAGGCGTTCTGCTCCTATAAAGATTTACAACCTCGGAAACCCTGTACAGGGTCTCTATGGGTCGGAACCGACTCGACGGCACTTAACAACAACAATAGGGTTTCCTAGGTTGTAAATCTTGACAGGAGCAGAAAGCCTCAGCTTTCTCTCACAGAACAGCTGGTAGTTTCAGGCTGCTGACCTTGAGTTGAGCAGCCCAACTTGTAACCACTATGCTACCAGAGCTTGATTTGCAGCATATAGAAGATTTCAAAAAGAGCAACTC